ACAATGTGGTATGTGCAATGCAGTCATCCCGAGCTCTTCCTTTTTAGAAATCGAGGTACCTGAAACATAAATTGAAAACCAAAAGTACAAAGTTTAGTGAGTTCCCCAAGATACCACACACCATACATAATAAACACATAATGGGCCCCGCCCGACATTGAGCCCCGCTCGGTATACGATTCTGTCAGTCATCGGGCCTAGCCCGGCATCGGGTCTCGCCCGATATACATATAATCATATAGCAGATAAACACATAACACATGCAATAATCACAAAGCTAAATAGCATACAGAATGGTCATCAGGCCCCGCCCGGTAAGCATACAAGAACATAACACATGCAAGAGCACGAAGACAACTAGCATACTAACATAACAAGTCATGGGTCGACATTGGTGCCTTCGACCCGTTAAACACAGTGGGGAAACTCACCTTGATCAGAGATAATCGAGACGCACGCGCTGCTGCCACCGAAATCCTCACGCTGAACATAAATCAACAATATCCTAATTAATAATTAGGCCTTAACCAAAGAGAGGGTCTAAACCCTTAAAATCCTGCATCCTAGGGTAAAATGACCATTTTACCCTTTTTCGTACTTGACCCAAAACCAAAGCCCAATCCAACTACTCAAAAGGCATAATCTCCTAAATGGCAACCCGAAGCCCAATATGGCCCAATCTTCCAAATTTGGCCCAATACCCATCATCGGCCTAATTCCAAAGGAAGCCTAATATACTAGCAACAACCCAAAACCAGAAGCTTAATGGCCCAACAAGGCCCAAACTTGAAAGTCCAAAGCATGGCCCAAAGACCCAACATAACCCATTGATCAACGTACGCCCGTTGTACCTGATCCCTACGCTCCATGTAACCCAACACATACTAGACACGGGACATCATCCCAGTACGCGCAACGTACACGATGGTACGCCCAACGTACTGGCCAAAGTCCCAAAGTCAAAACTAATGCTCTTAATCCTTAAGACCTAGATGTCCAAACCTCATGTCAACACCAACATATTATCTTAGTCCATAAAGTCGAAGCTTTTATGCCTTATGATAACAGATCTTCGAGTCACGACCCCGAATTATGAAACGATTTGAAACATGGTGTTACAGGTACTTTGGGGGAACTCATTAAGCTTTAGCATACCGTTTAAGTTTTATGTGTCAGCTACTTTAGATGATTGGGGGAAAACAATTGCGTGATCGTACACATCCTTTGGTGATATGTTATGGAGATGTTATGATACATTGATTTTGGAACAATTGTACTTGATCTTGAGTTTTTATTACGTGTGTTTAATTGGAAACAATGATTTCTCTTTAATTAAAAATGAAATTTTTTATTGTGATTTTGGGATGTTACACGAACGCTTTTATATACATGAAATATGTAAGTTTAATATTTGAAACTTTTTTGTTAAGAAAACCAAACTTAATAGTTAAAAACAAAGAACATTTTCTATTTATTTTGTAAAGTTTTCGCGTTTAGTTTATGATGTTGAACACTTTAATATAAATATATTAGTATAATATTTAAAAATATAAATATAAATGCATCATTGTTGATCAATATTCATTAATTAAATATCTGAATTTTGATGTGGAAGTTAGAACCACAAACTGGTCGCCCAAAACAAAATATTTCCTAACAGTTTCTCATAAATAAATCATAAATCAATAAAATAATAAAAAAAAAACTAATAAAAAGTTGAAAAAATTAAGCTAGAAAACTCGTATAGATCTATATGTATCTAGGTTGCATCTTGATACCTTTTTCAATCAACAATCCTTTGTTTAAGGCCTAATGACATAAAAGTCTTTAAGTTTGGCAGAAATATTGGATTTTATATTTTTTTTTTATGTTTTTATGGTTTATTAATGTCGGAGGTTTACAACTTTTTTTTTTCAATTCTACTGTTTTTACAGGTTTATTAGGTAAAACCAAACATTTCTGCTAAACTAAAGAGCTTTAATGAACCAAAAATACACAAAAGGGTAAATTGATTTTTTTTTTGTAAAATTCTGGATTTAATGAACCATAAATACGCAAAAGGAGAAAACCAAACATTTATGCCAAACTTAAAGGCTTTTATGGCATTAAGTCTTTGTTTAAAGCATCTAATCTACCATAAAACCATCCACAACTATCTAAATCCTACAAACATAATCTATCAATGTGAAATATATATATATATATATATATATATATATATATATAATTCTCAATTGGCCTCATAATTAACGGTAAGTATCATACGTTAAAAGAAAAATTCTTGAGTGGCTCGTTTTTAATTAAGTAGAAATACATCATTAATGGTATATATATATATATATATATATATATATATATATATATATATGTGTGTGTGTGGGTGTGTGTGTATATGTATAAATATAAATATAGATATATAGATATAAATACTTCTTTCTCATGATTGAAATACTTGCATATTGATTAATATATATTTATTCTTGTAATTGAAGTACTTACATATATTTAGGGTTAAATTTGACCTTTAATATCTTATTATGTAGTAGTTTTTGGGAAATATTTCCTCCATTAATGATTGCATCAAGCTATTTGAGACTTGTTCAATAAGTATAAGTATGATTTTGCCCTAAATTATAATCTAATCTAAGTTCATTAATTACAGTTCATGACATGTATAGACCGTTTTTGATTTGTGCATTGCCAAAACAAATATTTTATTGATATTGATTTATCTAAGAAATGGTAGGATGACGAGATGATATTTTTTAATATATTGCATATATATGAAATTTATCGGCTACAATTAGGTTCCCAAATTTTATATGTTAACTTAATAATTGACTTAATCATTTTGGACTTAGTTGATTGACTAAAAACAAGATTAATGCATGGAAGATGCGTGTGACGTGCATGCTTAGTTCATGTGGTTGTTGTTAGACATGCGAGAATGAAACTATGTGAAAATATTCGATTCTGACTGCCTTATATAGACTAAAAGAACAATCTGACAAAGGATCTCAAAGTCTTCTATTAGTAGGCTTAAAGCATTTTAAAATTTGAGGATGATAAATGCTCATTAGATCCTCAATGAGATGTTGTATAATACCCATATATAACATGTCAGAAAAAGAGTAAGATGCAAGAGAAAAAGATAGAGACGTCATGTAGAAAAATTGAAACCCTATATTCTTAAACTTTTTCATTTACAAAGTTGTTAATATAGAAAACTCCTCATTTTTATTATTCAACATGATATTTCATCAGAATATATAACTTACTAACATGTAAATACAAAAGATTGAGATCGAAAAATGCATTAGATTTAAATTAGGTTTGAATTTTGTTTAGGACATGAGCCATCTTATATGGCAAACTCCTTTTCATTGGTTTATGCAATAATACAAAGTTTCATAATGAAACAAAACTTAACTTTAATGGTTAAATGTCTTCAAAAAATTGAGGCATCGTGATTGAATGAGAATGGGTAAGAGGCTCAATATATCGTTGAAAGTATATACACAAGCCATTTATAGTACATACATCACACTAGATATACATTATATTCATGGAATATGATACACTTTCAAGATGGAAGATTAATCAGCCAAAATAACCATTAGCAGCTACGGTATTATAAATTTCTTCTTCTTGACCGAACCTGTAACCTTTCTAAATTAAAATTTGATTATTATATAAGAAAGTTGTTCAAATATATCGTCACATAATTGTCATGTCACCACTACATTATTATCTAGGCATATACTAAATACGTAGACATCTTAATATAATCCAATTTTATATTAATGAAATAAAAGAAGTTTAAGATAACATCATGAAATAAACTTAATCAGTTCCTATTATACAATATTTATCTAAAAGAAACAAAAAAAGACTTTTAAATCATATTTTAATTAATTATTAAGCTCAAAATTAAATTAAAATATGTTTTACCATTTTCTTCACATCAATTTGATCGAATATAAAGTAAATAACATCAATTAAAAACTTTATAAATGTTTTTGGACGTGTTCGACCAAATAGTTGGAAGTTGGAAGTTGGAAGCTGTGACTTTTATTTTTATAGGGTGTTCGACATAAATAGTTAAAAGCTTTTGAAATATGTAAAATTTCATAAAATGATATATGTATATAAACTAAAATTGAAATATAATGATGATAAATTAATTATTCTAAACTATAATTATCAAAAGTTAAAAATCATCTAAAATGTTAATACCATGTATACCGGTTAAACTTCTCAATTAGTAAAAAAAAGTTTTTATACATATTAGTAAATGATGATTTTCTTACAAATAAAATAAATAAGGTTTCTTAATTTTGTAGAACCCATGGTAAACATTTTTTTTACAAATTACAAGTGTTTCGTCGTTTAAAAAAAATCAGTATTATTGTATGATATTAATTTTAGGTTATAAATTCATATAACAAATATTTATTATTTTGTTAAATGAACATTAATAAATTATAAAACCTATTGATATGGTTATTTCAAATAAACATATAAAATGCATTTATATTTAATCATATAAGATAATTAACAAAAAGTATCAATAATATTTATTTACTTTAAAGGATATTTAAATCAATTTATTAAAATTTAAAAGAGTTTTTTAGTTCAAAAACTTTTGGATTTAAAGCTCTTTATTTGATCCTAAAGCTAAAAACTTTGTGGAACGAAATTTTATTTTTTCTTAAAGGTTAAAAACTCCAAAAAAAAAACTACATAGTTAATATATGCCACGTAATTAGGCAAATATTAATGAAACTTTTACGGAAATAGACCAACTTTTTTCTTTTTCTAATGATATTTGTCCTTCAGTATTTGAATTAATAGTTAAATATTTTGTTAAACAATATTCAATTAACACATTAAATTTATTTTTAAAACAAAAGTATAATATATATATATATATATATATATATATATATATATATATATATATATATATATATTTTCCCATTTGGGGAGTTATAAAAGGTCTTCCTATTCCCCTCTCAAATTAGGGCACCGCTTAAAAGGACGAAGAAAGTCCAAAATTGGGATTTTTTTTCTCGGACTCATCACCCATAAATCAAATATAGTTAAACACCTCTTCTATCATTAGATTCAAATCCGCCTTCTTCTCGTCTCTCTCGTACGTGTTGCTTTTCCTTCTCCTAAACTACACAAAGGGGGAAGTGCTGGAGCTCTCTGTATAAATACACTGTTCTTCTGCTACTCGACACTCGTATTCTCTCTGCAATTCGCTACTGGTTTCACCGAAGAGTTCTTTTCTCGATTTCTACATTTTAAATTTCTTGCAATCTTCATAGAAGAAGATGGAGGGAGGAGGAGCATCGCCGTATAATCCTCGCACAGTGGAGGAGGTTTTTAGGGATTTCAAAGGTCGTCGTGCCGGAATGATTAAAGCTCTTACCACCGGTGAGATTATGCTTTGTCTTTTTCTCCCTCTCGGTTATCTACTTCGTTCACCGATTTTTCGTTTTAATAATCTAAACTTCTCTACTTAATTTTGCAGATGTTGAAGAATTTTACCACCAGTGTGATCCAGGTTAGGGTTCTTTCTATCGCTATCCTTGCGCGTCACTTTACTTCGATTAAATCCTTTCTCCTGCATGTCAATTTCATGCACCGAGCTAAAAAAAATTAAAAAAAAAATCCAGACGCTTAATCACATAAAAAAACATCACTCGTTGATTAATTGTCTGCATCTTATCCGTATTTGGTAATCTTTTGCACTTTGCAGCGTCTACTGTTACATCATTACCTGTAACTGTAAATTAGGTCACCTTCATTATGTAATGGATTACGGCGATTTTATCTACAAGTTTGCTAAATTATTTTATCTCGTGGTTTATATTTTCCAATTATATGCAACGGAGGTTTGGTTTATGCCGCTATGGTTCAAAGACCCAGTTCTATGAAACTGTATATAATTTACTTATTTTAGGTCACTTTTAGGGATTTCGGTATCAAGATTGCTATCCTAATGAGGTGTGTTCATGAATTATGTTACTTGAATTGGAAATACATTTGTATCCTAATGAATTTCCATCAACTACTTTGAGTAATGTTTACAGGATCTGTTTAAGAACATATATTAATGTTTACAAAAGCATTATCGTATTAAAAGATTCATGCATATGCGTAAAATCAATGAGGCTTCGTTTTTCCGTTTTCACTTACCGTTTTTATTATTGTTCTGTTTTGTTGTTTTGTTCTTTTCATGTGAACACTTATTGTTTTTGTGTGTACAGAAAAGGAGAATTTGTGTTTGTATGGTTTTCCTAGTGAGCAATGGGAGGTGAATTTGCCTGCTGAAGAGGTGCCACCAGAACTCCCAGAACCAGCATTGGGTATTAATTTTGCTAGAGATGGAATGCAAGAAAAAGACTGGTTATCTTTGGTTGCTGTTCATAGTGATGCTTGGTTGCTTTCTGTTGCCTTCTATTTTGGTGCCAGATTTGGATTTGATAAAGCTGATAGGTAAATCATAGTTATATCTTTTCTACACAACCTACTTTACTTTCTTGTTTTCTTGCCTGTTATCTTTTTACCATGTCATGTTTGTATTTTTCTTCCGATACATATAAGTGGAACAAAATGACTTGAACCTAAAATATTTTATTAGAAGTAATATAATACAATTTATGGAAAATAATGTTTAAATTGTGTTGTTATATAATCTTTGAAGGTTTATCATCCATAAAAAGAAAGTGTTTTTTTTTTTTTTATTATGGAAACGGAGTTTTTATCTAATATGGAGATCTTGTAACGCTGAAAATCTTGGATAATGTTAGATTTATTATGTCTCAATTTTTTACATTTTTTAATGATGCAGGAAGCGATTGTTCAACATGATAAATGATCTCCCGACAATATTTGAAATTGTAAGTGGTATCGCAAAGAAAGCCCAGAAGGAGAAAACTGCAGTCTCTAATCACAGTAGCACCAAATCTAAGTCAAACTCAAAAATGGTAAACAAATCATTACCTCTTTTTTTCTTTGTGCATACCATAAATTAAAGGGCTAAATGCAAAAGATAGCAACACACGTCCATATATATATATATATATATATATATATATATATATATATTTTTTTTTTTTTCTTATCAAGCAATTGTAACTTCAAAAAAAAAATTCATTAGGACATCAGATTAATATAAAGAAATGAAAGTAGGTTGCTATTTATTGCATTAACCGTTTTGAATTTAGTCATTGCAGCGGGAGCCAGAGTCTCATGGGAAGTACCCAAAGCAACATCCCCTAGCAGCACTGAAAGATGAAAATGAAGGGGGGATGAGAATGGGAATGGGAATGGGAATGGGATTGGAGTTGGATGATGAAGATGAAGATGAAGAGGATGAGGATGAACATGGGGAGACATTGTGTGGAGCATGTGGAGAGAATTATGCATCGGATGAGTTTTGGATATGCTGTGATATTTGTGAGAAGTGGTTTCATGGGAAGTGTGTCAAGATCACTCCAGCTAGAGCTGAACACATTAAGCAGTACAAGTGTCCATCTTGCAGCAACAAAAGAGCCCGCACTTGATTAGTCATTACTATTACTTACTGTTTTTACTTTTTACTTTTTACTTTTTACTTTTTACTACTCTCTCTCTCTCTCTCTCTAACTCTGATGTTGAAAATTGTTGGTGATGATGATGTTTTAGTGGACCTCAGTTGCTGTATAATTCAGTTCAGTAATCTCGTTTTCAAACCAATCAATGCCTGCCACCTGTCTTGTCTGTTTTTAGGAATTTTAATATTTCTTTAAAATACAACTATGTTTACATTTTTGTATGTAAACATGGGGGCGATGATATGTCTTTTGCACAAACAAAGGATCAACATGTTGCACCTTGTATTTGTATTTGGTGAGACAAAACAAAAGATTTAGTGTCAAACGCAGTTTCCTTTTATCCTGTCTAACATTAAGTGAGAAAGTAATTTGAAACATTTTGTCGAAGGAATGTTGTCTTGCAAACTAATAAGAAAATTTAACTTTTTAGATTATTATATGTATATTTTGTTTGGGTTAATGTATAAAAAGACAACCAATATTTATACAATTTCATGTTTTAGTCATTCAACTTATGATTGTATTAAATAGATCAATAAACATTTCTAGGTTTTAATTACATTTCAACCAAGTAAACTAGTGTCGAAATTTGATATCGTTCACATATATAGGTTCATTTAGGTAGTATTTGCCTATTTGGTATATGGACCGGACATAATAGCAGAATAGAACTGAACTGATTTTTATAAAGCGTCTGGTAAGGTTAGCACAAAACAAAGAACAAAATCGTGATGTCCAAATTACCATATTGTCCTAGAGTTCCATATTTTTTGTTATAGATTTCTTTACCAAACAACAATTATAGCCGATACATGTCACATTATATTTCAATAAGTTTTATATATATAATCGAAAGGGAATAAAAGTTACCCCCTCGTGTTCTTCAACATCACCAACAGATTCATGTCGAGATCTTCCAAGTTAGTGGGTGTTGATAATTGAAAAAAAAAAAAAAAAAAAAAAAAAAAAAAGGTAAAACTCTCATATCGTGTGAAAGTATTTAATAACTAGGAAAGTAGGAAGGAGAAAGAGCAACATCGTAGGTTACATGCGATATTAATATGTTTATTTTTTATTTTATTTTTTGTTCTATTTTGTTCCAATCTTTTGGATGGAACTAAAATATAGTGCATTGGTCTCATTGACTTGGTCAATATTTTATCTGACCATACAAAATGTTTCTTCAAAGTTTTGATATTTTATCTGACCATACAAAATGTTTCTTCAAAGTTTTGATATTTTATCTGACCATACAAAATGTTTCTTCAAAATTGTTTATTTTGTGTTTCAGTCTACAGATAACTAGGAGTGAGAATTAGGGATGGAAATTTCACCCGAACCGGTGGGGAACCCGGTTGACCCGTCTCAATTGGGGACGGGTAATACCCGCCAAAACGGGTACCGGGTACGGGGCCGGGGATCCCTATTATGCTAAAACCAGGGATGGGGCTGGGGCCGGGTATAACAATCCTCAACCCGCCCTGCCCCCACTTTGATGATATATATATATATATATATATATATATATATATATATATATATATATATATATATATATATATATATCGATCATTTATTGAATTTGAATTAAGTCTATTAAAATGAATTAATCGATATTAGACCATCAGAGATAGAGTCCGTATATCAAATTATGTTCCCAATTCCAAGAGTCCGTCAATCGTGACTTCGTTCGACGTTATGTATACAAAATCGTCACTTTTCGTTTTGGTGCTTGTTAAACTTTATGATTGATGTAAACATAATCTGATTATGGCATCTAGTTTTGATCACTTATTAAACTTGGTTTTTTGTGTAAGTTCAGTTTATTATGTTTATAGATTGGGGATGGGTTGGGGATGAGCCGGGGATGGGCTAGGAAAAAGCCCAAAATACAAAGGGGAGGGGATTTGATTTCCCGCATCCGTCGGGGATGGGGATGGGGATGGGGACGAGGTTAGACACTCAGGGATGGGGACATGGATGATCAACCCCGCCCCAAACCCGCTCCATTTCCATCCCTAGTGAGAATTTAGACTAGACTGGATCTGGACCAGTAAGCCTCAATAGATGCGGTCTAAGGCCCACCTGTTTCTGTCAAACAGGTACAGTCCAAGATCCGGTCCGGTTCGATCCAAATGTCTACTCGTATAGTCGGAATAGATAAATACAAGAACCGAAAAACCCAAACTTGGACCTAATAATCCTCAACACACGTCTGGTCCAAAGTCCATTGATTTTTACCAAACCGGTCCGGTCCAAGCACTGGTGTGTTCCTAATGCTCATCCCTTACATATTATGTCCATGTGGTTGCATCTGGACGTTTCTATTTAATTTTTACTTTTATAATTTTAAAAATCATTATTATATTATTATTTCAGACTTTCAAGTCACAATTTAAATAAATAAAAATTCCATGTCGACGCAAGATACTTTGGGTTCATAGTTATCCACTTTAAATATTAAAAAAGTTTAATAAAGATTCATCCCACTTGTAATATACAAACTTTAAAAAAAAACAGTTCCCAATTCCCGTTGACAGCTAGTCCCACTCCCACCAAACTAATTTGTCAAGGTACAAAATTCCAAAATTTCTTCAACTTTTTTATGGATAATGTAATCTAATAGTTATCATAAATAAAAGTATAAAACAAAAGCAATTCCAATCTCAATCCCCCCAAAGGAAGTCCCTGACCCCTACCAACCAAGATACAATATTATTTCAGATTCCCATTTCCTAATCCATTATCTAATCCCAAAAATAAAAAAGATGCTAGAAAGTGGCAAACTAGTTGGGATTTCAATTATGTAAATAGTGACATTGTATATATCATAATCTCATATGAACAAAATATGAAGAACCTCAAGTCTAATCCTGTAATCACATAAACGTAATCACATAAACATGCATAAAACTAAGAACAAATTATGAGCAGGATAGACAAAATGAAAACAAGATTGTGGAATTTGTAAGATCCAGAGAGGGTTTGGGTACCTTGTAATTTTTTATTCTTATTTCATCGTATCAAGTTTTCTTGATTCTTAGTGGAGAGACGTTTGAGAAGCTCGTAAGTTGTAATCATGGTGGTTGCAGACATAGACATGGAAGCCCATCGTGGACCTAATCCTCTATAAAAAGCCATCCACCCACCTTCTCTTACTAAATTCCTCACAGTTTGACCAATAGTTGGGACTTTCCTCCCATTGTTGTCGTCACTGCTATCAAGAACCTGCAATCTTGTCTTGATTGTATCCAAAGGCATTGTAACTAAAGCTGAAACACCACCTGCCATGGCTGCACTCACACCTTGAACTGCCATTACAGTTCTTGAATCAGGTGTAAATGCAACCACACCGCCATTTTCGTTTTCGTTACACATATATGATCCAATTCCACCCCACACAAGTCTTTGAGCTACAGAGTATGAGGCCCACCAAACTGCATTTGAAGGTGCGTATGTCATTATCGATATGCCAAAACCTCTGTACAAACCTCTTGGCCCATTGGTGTTGAGAATCTTTCGAAAAGCATCGATCCCGTTCATGTATTTGTTTGATTTCTGATCAGAAGTGGAGATTTTCGCATTGCTGTAGTCGTTTCCCTGGACCATGAGTCTTTGACTCACCACATCAACCGGTGTCCAAACGAGTTGTGCCGCTAATGCTGCGCTGAGTCCGGCCATCGCGTTGGCAATGGCGGCGGCGGTAGGCTCAGGAAACCCTAGTTTGATAATACTCGTTCCGACGTTACTCTTGGTGAGTTCTAGTGCTGTCATGTATGTCGCTCGAGCTGGAATTGTTCCGATCAATGAAGTCCCGAAGCCTCTGTAGAGTCCTCGGAAACCTTCATACCGGAGAATCGAGAACGCCGTCTTAAGACTTGATAAATGGGAGGAAGAAACTTGCTGCCGGGTTTTCAATACGACGACGGGGTAAAGTGTGGCGGAGACACATGAAAAAAGTCCGGCGCCGAGGAAGAAAAACTTTGATTTATCGAGCATTTCCCAATCGATTTCCGGCGGTGTATGCACGATTTGATCAGAATTAGATTCTTCCTCCGCCGTACTCAAATCCATTTTCGCCACTGTAGATGATTTTTCAGAGACTCTAATACTATTCACAGGTCTAGCCACAAACAATTTCACATTAATCAACACCAAAACTCTTCTCGTAACACCACCGATTAATGAAGCACGTAAACCAAGCTAATTACCAAAAGTCAATAATTTAGAATCGTGAAATAGTGATCGATCTGATAATCGTATAATCAAATTCTGAAGAAACATCGAAATTGAAATTACGCCTGAATTCCTGATACAACGAGCTTTTAATTCTCCTTCGGAACCGGATTTCCAATAGAACGTCGAAGTTGATCTAACATGTCTAAACTGTTCTTACCAAAATAAAGTTGTCGTCCAATAATCGTCTGTGGAACAAGTTGCAGCCATTATCGGTGCTCGCCGGCGAGGTATCAGATTAATCAATAGCCTTCTGTAGATCAAAGAATGAGTAATCAGAGAGAGATTGGAATTGGAATTGGAAATCACAGAGAGCGGATGGTGGGGAGTGAGAGCTTTCATGCGAATTTGAGGGTGACCAAAATGAAGAAAAGCGGATAAAAACAGACTAACCTGGAAGCTGACACGTGTCGGTTATCGGTAACAGAAAATTTTGTCTCCTTCCTTTGACAATTTTGTTTTAGAAATAATCAGAAATTCACGGAAATTGAAAAGAATTTTATCGTTTGTCTTGTATTTTTGGTAATATACGACACAATAGTTATGAATTATTTGCACGGTTGCACCTGTGTTTTGAATGAATTATATGGTGTTTGATTCTATTGCAAATTGTACTAATTAATTGTTCATGCCATAACTATATTATTCTGTCTAAAATAGTTTATTAGATTATTTATAGGTTAATAATAAGTGGTATGGTTTAATGAAAATGATTATTATGATAAAGCAAATAAGATTTGAATTATTCGCTAAAATGATCCTATATAGAAACCATATATCACTGGATAACTACATTTTAATATTACAGCACACAGGTGGTTCGCATATAAAATGTCATTGTCGACATTTTTTATGCCGTCCTGCTAACAACGTTCAAAGTCGTTTTTTTTTTCTTTTCTTTTGCAAGCGAGATTAAATGACATCGATGCAAGTAAGTTAATCTTAATCCTCCTAAGTCGAGTACATATACCATAATACCAATCAATGCCTGTTTCATCGGCACTTCTCTGACGGGGTTAACTCTGTGAAGTGTAGATTTTAGTGTTTTTAGATCAATTCCCAAGAATGTTATGGTTTTTATAGTCCCACTAATCTATATTATCAATGTCATTGTTGAAAATAATATATGTTTTAAAAAAACATTGCTACTCTAATCAAGAACATGTTCGTTAGTTTTTCAAATGTCTCACAAGGTGTGGTATTTACGTATATCTATAAGAATATAGTTTTAGTAGAGTAAATGTGTATAGAATAAGCATAATTCGCAATGTCATGCATGAACATGGAAGACGACTTACGATACGTTTCTCTGCGAATCAAGAACGAATTCACGAGTTTTTCAAACTACTTGCGGGGTGCATTTTCGTAGTAAATTTATCTTCCCATTAACTTTTAGTTAAATTACATTATATATATATATATATAGATATATATATATATAATATATATATATATATATATATATATATATATATATATATAGGCTTAAGTTATTCTATTCAAACTAATTATTGTGCGGATATCGTATGCTATGAGAATGATAAAGAAAATATGTTGTTTGATAATATAAATACGTTCAATCTTACATAACTATTGTCATTAACATACATTCTCACTAATTAAATCGTCTATAAGGTTATTATACACTTATTATTATTATTCTTATTTTTGTCAGAATGTTTATTGGGTCGTATTCTGTCAGAATGAAAATGAGTGAAAAACGATGTGTGAAAACAAAAATAAATAATAATTATGGAGAATGCATGAAAATGACGATATTTTTGTAAGGTTGAACGTATTCGCATTGCTAAACAACTTTTTCTCTAAGTAATTCTCATAGCATACGATATCCACACAATAATTAGTTAGAATACTTGAACCTCTCTCTCTCTCTCTCTCTCTCTCTCTCTCTCTCTCTCTCTCTCTCTCTCTCTCTCTCTCTCTCTCTCTCTCTCTCTATCTCTCTCTCTCTCTATATATATATATATATATATATATATATATATATATATATATATATATATATATATATATTTGCTTCTAGTCATATTATATTATCATAAACTTTTTGTTTATGTATTTTATAACTACCTTGTGTTTTATAAACCTTTATAGTATGGTTTACAAATTTTTCGTTGTAATGTAATTTTTCTGACTTGTTTTCTTCAAAATCATGTGTGCTAATTTTGACATTTCGTTCTGGGTCCACCGCTACTGCATCCAATTCTACGTTACTTAATCATTATTAAATAAAATGTTATAATTATAAATAAATCCAAAACATATAACCCTTATTTCACCGTGTTACAATTCTTCCACGATTAGGATAACTACCGACATTCCTTCATTTCCGTTTTAGGAAGCTTCCATATTAATCATCATCATCATTTAATTACCTACACCTAGTTCATCATTAATTGACCATTAAATAAGGATCAATCTGAAAGAGGGAAAGGAAAACAAAGAAAATGAAGATCAAAGTTTCTATCTATAATTCCTAAACTCTAAGAAGCATTGTCATAGGTGAGCATAAATCAAGCACCGGAAGAATGAGTTCCCAAATAAAAAGGAACCATTTTTATAAAATTGTTACAAAAGATGTTCCAATACAGAGAAGAACGATGTTCCAACACAGAGAAAGAATTGGCTCTTGCAATGGCTGAGTGTAGCTTTGGAAAATTCGGTGCCTGGATCTTACATGTTCCCCAAAAAAGATTTGTTTGTATAAAAAACAAAAGAACACTTCTCTTTATTACTAAGAATCAGTTCAAATACTTACAAAAAAGAAACCTCACACTAATCCTATACATAAATTATCCAACCTAATTCTCTTCTCACATATTAGTGATAACACGAAATCATAATCTGAAATATGTACAAAACTATGTGAATATCTAGTAAGAAATGTAAAGAATTAGTAGATAGAATATTGGGATTCTATCAAAGAGGAGGCTGAGAACTAGAGGATCAAACTCTAGACATCATAAAGTATATATAGCTAAAGAATTACAACATCAACCCTTGAAGTATCATTAATAATGCCAGCACCCTTCAAGTATGTAGTGATTGTCAGTAACTGCTACTTTCTCCAAAACATCAATTCCTACACATAAATATACCAAATTACCTCTACAATTTGTAACATCCCGATGTTGATGTACTTCTAATTTCAACCCTATAATTTTATTATATTGCGTTTTGGTTCCTAAGTCCAAGAAAATGTGCATTGGAGCCCTAGTGGCATTTTCGTAGTTTTGGCAGTGAGGAGTACGCCATGCGTACTAGTGTGTACGTTGAGCGTACATCTATGTACGCATGACGTACTTGCTAAATGACGAAACCCTAATTTTTAGGATATGGCTAGTATTTAATCATCTTTATGGCCTCATTTCCCTTCACATTAACAACCTCCATCCTCTCTTTTATGATTGTAACCCTAGAGCCACCTTGTGAAGCCATCCTGGATCTGGAAGTTTTGCACCATTCTCCATCATCATGGAAGGAAGAAGCATCCTGGATCTGGAAGTTTTGCACCATTCTCCATCATTTCAAGGTATAAAGTTCATACCTTGATGGCTAATTTACTAGATCTTGTTTATGGGTATTTTTGTGTTACTTTTTGGTCCAAAAAGTCTCATCTTGAGCATGGCGTGTTTTGGACGTTTTGAGTTGTCCTTTCAGACTCTAGGAGGGGTCCTTAGCCATAAAAATGAAGTCCCATTGGTTAGAATTGCTCCATGCATCTTGTGGAAGGTCTTAATGGATTAAGACCTTGAGTTAAGCACTTATTGGACTTGAAAAGTCATAAAGTTGGAAACTTTATGACTCTAGAGTGTATTTGAGCCTTGGATCTGGAATATGGACTTAAGTGCTTAAGCCATTAAGCGCTTATTGGATTTTGAAGGATGAGAGGGTACGCCCTGCACACTCTGAGTACGCCCTCCATACTCGGTCAACCACCTCGATGGTGGTCAAGCTGTGAGGCCTCGTGTACGCCATGCGTACCTCCGGAGTACGCCATGCGTACTCGCACTGGGTCAGCCCTAGTGAGTTAACTCGGTTGAGTTGACTCGACTGGGTTGACTCAGTTGTCTTAGTGGGTTTTGAACAGTTGACTTTGACCAAGTTTAACCAAGTTTGACCTTGAGGGTATTTCGGATTTTGATGGAATTGGTCAATTTGTGGGATTAGGTGTCGGTTAGTGAGCTGAGATTCAGAGTCGGGACCTTATCAGTTTCTATTCAGTTTGCGAGGTGAGTTTTTTTCACTGTACTTACGGGTCGAAGGCACAAGGCCGGCCCATTGGATTTGATATCTTGTTATGCATACTATTATACTATAGTGATCTGTTAGATCAGTATCTTGGTATATAGAACGATGCTATGCTTAGTGATCTGTAGATCTGTTTGACTGGCTGTAGACTGTTATATGATTATCTGTTATATGTGCACATGTTTGATCTGTAGGTGAGGCTTCACTACTTTGTGCGTAAGCCAACAGGCTGGGGCATACCAACCCGATGGTTGAATGGGCCCGAGGGTATTCCATTCCAAGGATGATTGGACCCATAGTGTATTCGCATTCCAACCCGATGGTTGAGGGCATGGGGTATTCCAACCCGATGGTTGATTGGACCCATAGTATGTTGTTAATCGTATTTGTTATATGTTTATGTGTCGGCAATTTATGGGATTTTGCTAAGCTTTGGGCTTATAGTTTTGGGTTATGTTTCAGGTACTTCAGATGATCGCAGGAAGGTGAAGACGTGACCGTACACATCCTCGTGTTTTGACTTATGAATTTTGGGAAACTCTGATATTGAACATGTTTTGAAAATT